TTATGTGGTAATAACTTCAAAATGTGTGTGTGTGTGTGTGTGTGTGTGTGTGTGTGTGTATAAACTATAAACACAACACTGTAACCCTAAATGTACACAACTTTTAGCAGTCATGTCTCAATAGAGCTGGAAAAAGAGATATGTATAAAAAATAATTCGATACAAACTTAAAGATATATTCAAAAATCAATTCATAATGGTATTTATATATAATATGTATGTACACATATACATATATGTATATAAAATAAAATATAATATATATATAAAACCTAGAACAGTAAAAGTGGAAGAAAATATAGAAGAAAATCTTTGTGATTTTGTGTTAGACTTAGATTTTTGATATGACATCTAAAGCACAATCAATAAAAGAACGAGCAGGCCCAGCCACAGTGGTACGTGCTGTAAGATACTGTGCTCTAACGGCTGGGGCCACATGAGAGACCCAGGTTCCAAGTTCAGTTTGGATGAAAAGACCTGACACCGTGGCATGCGCCTGTGAGCCCACCAACGTGGGGAGGCTAAAGCAGGGCATCACAAACTGAAGGCTGGTCTGCCCAGCACAGTAGGAGCTACATATGATAGCTCCTGCTTGTAGTCCCAGCCGAGAGGCTGAGGCAGGAAGATCACATCTTTTTGTGAACACCATTTAAAATTAATACAATAACTTTAAAAATTGTTTTAATTTTTGGACCAGGAGATGGTGTAATGTTTACATTGCTGGACTCACACATGACTGACTGCTGTTTGAGTTCTGTACCCAGCAGCTTGAAACTCAATTGGGTGCATGTATGTGTACCCAAAATCCTGAGAAGAGAATGGAGGAGAAGGAATTGTGGCATGGTCATCCCCTCTGGGAGGTGATTCTTCACTTTCTGTCTCTCTGTCTTTCTCTGTCTCTCTGGCAAGTCCATGTGCCCTATGGGAAAATATCTCCCTCAAAAAAAAATTTTTTTTTTCAATTCTGTTTCTCATAAGATGCTGTTAAGAAAATTAAAAAGGAGGACCGGCATGTGGCGTGGATAAAGGTCCTGACTCTCACAAGTCCGGGACCTGGTGTCTTGCTCTCTCGCTTTCCCTTTCTCCCTTTTTCTGCCTCTGCCTAGTCAATTTTAAAAATAATAATGACAAATGGAATTGAATAAATAAATAAATCTTTTTTTAAAAAGAAAGAAAATTAAAAAGGCAAACCAAGAACCTAGAGAAAATATTTGCAAATAAAGGACTTGAGTCAAGAATATATAAAAAGAGCTCTCAAAACTCAGTAAAAAAGCAAGCAACCTAATTTTTAAAATCACTAAAGATTAGGGCAGTTATTCAAAGATGATACTCATATGGGAAATAAGCACATGAACCAATGCTCAACTTTGTTAGTCATTAAGGAAAATCTGAATCAAAGCAACATAAGAGCTCTTCTAAAAACCTATTAGAATGGCTAAAATTATAAAGATTGACCATGATAAGTGCTAGTAAATATGGAAAGGAATTGGAACTCTCCTAGCTCAAAAGAGTTGAATTTTTCTAAAAAAATTAAGTGTACATTTATTATATGTTACATGATCCAGTTGACCCATTCCTATTCACCGATTGGTACAGGTACTTAGCCAATAGAAAAAAAAATGAAAGGAGAGAAAAAGAAAGAAAGAAGAAAGAAAAAGAAAGAAGCTTACAAATATATTTATGACAGCTTTTGTCTACTAGTACCAAACTGGAAATAAACTACTATCCATGAGTAAGTAGATGGATCAACAAATGATGCAGAGCTACGTGTAGCAATTCTAATGGCAGTAATATCAGGAACATCATTTGTAGTTGAGTGTCTGCAAGCAAAGTGCTCACAAAGCAAAGGACAATAGAGTGAGTATTAAATAGTCCCACAAGTCAGCTGTAGTTCATATTTCAAACACAATACCTTCTGACAATACAGCACAATGAGGGAACAGAAGTATATGTTTTTTCCATGTTGGTTTGTTTTGCTATCTCATGCATGCACTCACTGGAGAGAGACAGAGACAGAGAGAGAGAAAGGTGAGAAAGCTCTCTAGGGTGTGTGTATGAGGCACATGTAATCCCTTCTCCATTCTCTTCTTGGGAGTTTGGACAAATAAGGACACAGAACCAGTATGGTTCTCAAGCTGCTAGATCTGAGACTTCAACTGAACATTGGCCTTGTGGGATCCAGCCACCGACCCCAGAAGTAAGTGTATTTTTCAAGTTCTAAATAAATCTAAAATATAGTCTTCCATGACTTTAACAAAATAAAAGTATAAATAATGTATAAATGCCTTAAAATTGGTGAAGATGGGATTAGCATTATACATGTTCACTATTCATATTGTATGGGGAGGTATATTCAAAAAGTTCATAGAAAACATGTATTATGAAAAAACTATATACATGGATTTTAAAGTTTTTTGCACCAAAACAAACCTGTATTTAATTGCATTTTTTCCACAAATTTTTGAAGTCACCTCACATGTATAAATTAATTTTATGATCATTTCTATTTGAGTTACTCAAAATACACAATATCTTTTAGTCTATTTTATTTTAAAGTAACCTAGAATTCTTGTTTTAATCTGTGACTAATTCAAACCCTGTCTGCTGAACTTTCAACATCTAAAATACTATTAGACCTATATTACATGATTTGCAATTCAGTAGATTTGAGAATTCTTTAGATCCAATTCTTAGTGCACCAGACTCAGAGTAAGGACTGATCATTCAAAGAGAGTAATCCTCTGTTGGGAACTGACTTCATAAGTGTCTCTGTCTCAGGTGTACAGCAGACTGCAGAATAAATCTCTAATCTGAAGTTTATCTCTGAGCGGACATGAGTACCTCACATCTCTGCCTTGTCAATCTCAAGCATTTATCCATCACCTTTTCCAAAGTATAAACCTACAAGAATATCTTCCAGAATTATCCTTCAAGGCTACCTCTGTACCACTACCTATCAGACATTACACATATGCATCCTAATTACACCCTATTTCTGATCATAAAAGTGGCTCTCACCAAGAAGAATTTCAGAAAAACTGAACAACTGGCTATTTTCATGATTCTTAGAGACAGAAATGTAAGATAATTTAATGCTAAACAATCTTCTAGATTATATGCTTTTATTGTTCCCTGGATAATGTTAATCCTGATAGGACTATGGCCTATGGAGAGAGAAAAACGGCATAATTACTAGGCTATTATTTCTAGAATTGAGCTCTACAGTTCTCTACTGAAATAAGGGAATGGAGCAAATTCTGTGACTTTTCACTTGTAGACAAGATGTCACACAAATGTAGTGACTTGTTAGTGAGGTAGACTGAAGAAACTCTGCTCTTGAGCTCTTTAGGAATTCATCCAGGAGCCCAACAACACCATCTTGCAGCTGTATGTAAGACTGTCTATCCTCTCTGCCCTCCCCTAAACAAGTCAAGACCGTGTACTTGGTATGTAAACAGCTGAATTAGCATAGTTTGGCCACACTGTAGAAGCATCACATATGTTCAACAGGACTATAGAATAGGATGCTCAGTAAAACTCCATCAATTTTCACACTCTGTATGATTTCTTTCTACTTTTAATTTCAGGAAAATTTTCTCAGAAACAACTTTAAAATGTCGTATTTCCATATCTTGGCCAAAAAAAGTGTCATGCCCACACTTTTTCCTCATAACAGGGGCATGAATGGTAAGTAACAGAAAATTTAACTAAGGCCCAAATATGGGAGAGATTGGAGGTTAGGCACAAAGAGCAGAAGCTTGGGATGCTGTGAAATAGGGTAAATAGTTTCCATCCATCATTTCCCCCGACAGATTGCCAGTGTTGCTATCACTATTTAGGGGTTACCTCAGAGGAGTTTATCCACAGAAGCCACAAGACTGTTTCGTGAGGGGGCTAGCACTGGTACAGTGGCTAAGGCACTAGACTCCCACACATAGTCAATGGTGGTTTGAGCCCTGGATCTGGCAGTTTGAAAATCATGCTGGGCACATATGTGTGAGTGCCCAAAACTCCAGGAGGAAAATGAAGGAGAAAGGATTGTGGTGTTGCCATTCTCTCAGTGACGGGAGGGGGTGATTTTAAGTAATTAGTAATTGGAAGGAAGGCATGGAGGAGGGGGACTCATGAAGGATGCACTACAAGAGCAATAAGAGAAACATAGGTGAAAGGAAACTTTAGAAACATCTGGGGTAGTTTTTAATGGCATTCAATAGAATCAAATCATAGATATTTCAAAGGCTTTGAAGAAGTCAGTGACCTTACTACAAGGTCACTTACAGGGACCCTTAAGAAGGTGATGTAGTGGAAGGAAGTGGAGACATTACAGTTAGCCTGAAATGACGGACTATGGCTTGAGGGAAAAGGCAAACCCTTTATCTAATAAGGAGTTAATATCCAAATTGTATAAAAAAGACTCAGACAACCTAATATTGGAAAAACAACCCAATTTTAAAATGAGCAAAAGGTCTGAATACATATTTCTCCAAAGACATCATTGAAATGGCCAGCAAACATATGAAAAGGTGCTCAACCTGATTAGTCATCAGGGAAATGCAATTCCAAACTCTGTGAGTCCACATGTACGTGAGCTCGTACGATATTTGCTGTTCTGTCCCTGGCTCACTTCATTTCATATATTTTCCTCCAGGTTCATCATGTTGTCACCAATGACAGATTTTCCCCCTTTTTATAGCTGCATATATCAAAACATCAAATGGTACCTTGTAAATATGCACAATTAGTATTTTTCAATTAAAATAAAATTAAATGAATAAACATGTTTAACAACTACTATGAATTACTACCTTCTACTTATTAGCATGCCTTACATCAAAATGTCAAAAGATTTAACCAGCTTTGTGAAATCTTAGAGAAAAGGAGACTCATATACACTGTTAGTGGGAATGCAGATTAGCTAAGCCGTTATGGAAAACATAATAGAAGTTTCTAAAGAAATTAAAACAGAACTACTATACAATCCAGCAATCGTATGTACATACCATACATCCCTCTTCTTGGTTATACCCAAAGGAAGAGAAATCCTCACCTCATAAAGATATCTTCACTCTAAAATAAATTAAGTAAAATAATTCTTTTAAAAAAAGGGGTCAAGGGAGACAGCAGGTGGTGTGGTGGTTAAGGACACTGGACTCACACATTGCTGATCACGGTTCGAGTCCAGAATCTGGCAGCTTGCTTTCTCACTTTGCCCCTCTCTCTCTCAATCTCTCGCTCTCTTGCTCTGTCCCTTTCTGGTCCAATTAATGTGAAATAAGTGAATAAATAAATAAAGTTAAGTAAAATAATTCTTTTTAAAAAAGATATCTTCACTCCAAAGTTTATTGTAACATTACTCACAAGAGCCAAGCTATAAAAACAATCTAAGTATTCTTTGATAGACAAATGAATAATGAAATTGCGTTCTCTATATGCATAATAGGATACTATTCAGCCTTCAAATAGAATGGAGTATCTCCATTTGCTATAATGTGCATAAGTCTGAGAGATAAAATAAACCAGACACAGAAAGAAAAACTGCATGATCTCATTTATATGTGAAACGTAAAAAATAATATAGTAATCAAAACAAAGTAAATTGTTAGCATCCATCCTTTCCCCTGACAGATTGCTACTGTTGTCATAAATTTACAGTGATATTACAGAGAAAGAAGAAGACAGTGATAACCAGGCTTGTGGGGTGAAGGAGGAAATGGAAGATACAGGTCATAGGATACAAAGTAGCAGATATGTAGGATGAACAGGTGTAAAGATCTAGTTGGTAACATGAGTACTGTCAAAACTTTAATAAATGAAAGTGAAAAAAAATTACTGTAAATGGGTACCATACCAAATAAATAGCTTTTAGTTGCTCTTGTCACAAAAACAAAGAAAAAATAAAATAGTAACTATGTGAGATAATGAATATGTCCATTGTTATAGAACATTGTTATAGAAACTTTTTTTACTATCTTCCTGCTTCTTATAACATCATGTTGTATATCTTAAAAATATACAATTAAATTTTTTTGAAATTATTAAGAATTGAACTTTATGAAGAGAAAAACAATGGCATGTATAACAATCAAGATACAGAGGATGAGTTAAGCAAATACATGATGAATTTATATATATATATATTTCTAAAAATCTATAGTGAAAAGAAATGAAGACAATAAAGATACGTGGATTCTGAAATGAGGGAGAATTAAGACTGATCATAACAACTGGTCTTGTAAATTAGGCAAGGATAAATGTAGAATGACTTAGAAGCATAATTCTTTTGCACACTGGATTTAAAATCATAAACATTTACAGAAATTAACATTAATGTTAATATATAACATAGTAATTAACAATTTTTTCCTGCACGTTTAAATAAAAGGAAAATGTTTGGTATTGTTTATGCTTTGAAAAAAACTAAAAGGAGAATAATTCAGGGGTCAAAATGAATTAAGTTTTCAAAATAAAAATTGTTCTCTCTTTTTTTCTGATATACTATGCATATTAATAATAAGGAAGCAGTACCAACAGATGGTATAATTGGTTACATTGCTGAACTCACACGTAGTTGACCATGGTTCAAGTCCTGAAACCAAGAGGCTTAAAACTCAAGCCAGGTGCATGTGCGTGTATGCCCAAAATCCTAGGAGGAGAATGGAGGAAAAAGAACTGTGGTGTGGCTATTTCCCCTGTGGTGTGAATTCTCACTTTCTGTCTCTCTGTCTCTCTCTGTCTTTCCAGCAAGCTCAAGCACCCTTAGTAAAAAATCTCTCTTAAAAACAAATAGAATAGAATAAAAAAAATAAGGAAGGAAGGAGAGGGCTAAGCCCAAAAGAAAATTCTACTTTTAGGGCATTTATAGAAAACACATGAGGACATCTAACTTTTTGAAACCTCCTCAAATGTACTTTGTCAGTGGCTGAGTTCTACCCACTAATCAAAGGAGCAGAAAAGTCACTTTTGTAGAAATGTACATAAACAAAATTATATGTGTGCATACGTCAAACGCAAACTAAATCATACAAGTTATATATCCAGCTCAGTTCCCACTAATCTATAAGATAGTAGCAGTACTTTACACACCAGAAAATATTTTATATCATACAATTTGTCAGGAAAACCCAATCTTGCCACAGAAATTCTATACGTGCATGTAGATTGTAGGTTCTGTATGGATAGAATAACACATCTAAGTGTGTGATGGTAGTTGGGGGATAACCATCCTTAATATTATTACAAAAAACCTTTAGGACCAATAGGGGTCACACTTTAGCTCCATCCTGGAATTCTAGACTATAGCATTACACCTCAGGGCCTTCCAGTCATAGACAAGAGGGATCTCCTAAATACTAGAAAAGAGATACAGGACATAAGTTTTCCAGGTACACGATAAGGTAGGAGATGCACAGGCCAACTAAGATCCAGAGCTTATCTGAATATATTGTAACTGGTGCATATTATATATGAATGTAGATAAAGATATAAAGATATAGCAACAGATACCCAGATAAAGAAACAGATAGTAGACACAGACTCAAACAGACATAGTCGTAGGCGTAGACTTAGATACCCTAACACAAAGGTATCTGCAAAGAAAGCCTTACATGTAGGAATCTAGGATTTGTTGAGATGTAAAATACAGGATCCCATGATCACAAATATCAAAGAATGTGCAAATACTGTGATAGTCCATGCTACCTACAGCTTCTCTCCTGTCCAATTAAGGTTCTTCTTAACAGTTCCAGCAATCTCCCAGTCACTCTCTGCCATAACATACCTACTCACGAATTAAAAGGTACTGAAAAAAAACTTTTTTTATGTTTTTGCCTTAGCGCACATGCCCTTGCCTGAGAGAGAGACAGATACGGTGAGAGGAAAAGTGAGCAATCACCTTCTGGGGGTGGGGGAATGGCCACACAATCACTCCTCCTCCATTTTTCTCCTGGGATCTTAGGAATGCACACACAGACTCCTGGCATGAATTTCAAGCCATGGGTCTGGGACTTGAACAGTGGTCAGTCATGTGGGAAGTCCAGCGACATAATTGCTACCATATGCTGGCCTCCAGCACTAAAAAATGTTTTAAAATAATAATAAGTGAAGAACTCAATTGTGCAGAAGATATGCAGAATGTACCAAGATAATTTTAGAAATAAAGATGATTACTTCAATTATATTATTCTGTATTTTAAATTAAATGAATGACTTATTATTTGTTTACATGTTAATTACATAAATAACATAAATGAATATATAAATTATATATATAAATAAATATATAAATATTTATTTTTATATTATATAAATTTTTTGGCACACATGCACACATGCCCGGCATGAGTCCAGGACTCGAACTGCGGTCGGCTACATGGGAGTTTAGCAACATAGCCATTACACTAACTGCTGGTCCTGATTTTTATATTATATAAATACATTCATATAATATATACTACAAAATATGTATAAATATTTATATTATTTTTACATAAGTATATAATGTTCATGTAAATATATATGTTATATAAAATATTTATAGAATATATACTATATTTTTATATTTGGATAAATATTTTATAACATGTCGTTACTTTTTTTTGTTTTTTTGGAGAGGTTTTTGCTATAGGGTGCATGTGCTCGCCAGAAAGACAGAGAGAGACAGAGAGATAGAAAGCAAGAAATGAACCTCCAAGGAGGATGACCATGCCACAATCCCTTCTCCATTCTCTTCTCAGGATCTTGGGCACACATGCACACGTGCCCAGAGTGAGTTTCAACCACCAGGTCTGGGACTCGAACTGCGGTCGACTACATGGGAATTAAGCGATATATCCATTATGCTAACTGCTGATCCCATTATTATGTATTTTTAATTAAAGTAATGATTTTAGAAATCAAACTAATTATGTGGTATTTTGGGTCATCTGCTTAGTCAAGAAAATAGCAGTTCTTGTAATCGAGCTGTATGATGACGTAACTCCTTACAATAAAACTTTGTATTTTAGGGGCCAGCAGGTGGCATGATAGTTAGGGGCACTGGATTAACACATGGCTGACCATGGTTCAAGAGTTGGACCTGCCTGGTGGCTTGCTTTTTCTCTCTCTCTCTCTTTCTCTTACTCTCCCACTCTGGTCAAATTAAGTAAATAAAGTTAAATAAAATGATTCTTAAAAAAAAAACAAAAACCTTTATATTTAGATAAGAGTAACTAAACACCTTGATAATTATTTAAGTAATCTAATGATAAATGTAAAACATATTTACTGTGGAAAAGTCAGAAAATAAAGAGAATATGATTAAGAAAATGCAAGTTACCCATAATGTTATCACCTTATCACCTAGTCAATGCTATGTCATTCCAATATTCTTTTTTTTTACAGATGTTTTTGCCGTAGGGCACATGTGCTCACCAGAGAGACGGAGAGAGACAGGTAAGCAGAAAGCAAGAGGGATCCATGCCATAATCCCTGCTCCTCCATTCTTCTCTCAGGATCTTGGGCAAGCACAAACACAGGCCCAGCATAAGTTTTAAACTACCAGGTCCAGGACTTGAACTGCAGTAAACTACATGGAAGTCCACAATATAATCATTATGCCATCTGCTGCTCCTGCATTCCAATATTTCTATGTATCTGCATTTTTATACAAATATGAGATAATATTGATTTTTCTTTCAATATATTTACTGAAATAATATGGATATTTTATTATTAAATATTGTTATATATAATTTTAATCAATGTCTAGAGGGTATTTATTTTTCCAAATACTGTTTTTAAAACAAGGCTTTGAAGATTATTCTCCTATTCAATATTATTGTACATTTTTTTAAATTTTGATTACTTTTTATGATTAAAATTGTAGAAGAACTTATATTTTAAGACTTTTAAACATATTGCTAAATTTTCTTCCAATAAATTTGTAAAAAAGAAAAAGCTCGGGAACCAGCAGTTAGCGTAATGGCTATGTCGCTGGACTCCCACGTAGTCGACCGCGATTTGCGTCCCGGACCCGGTGGCTTAAAACTCACGCCGGGCGCGTGTGCGTGCGTGCCCAAGATCCCGAGAGG